TGTGGGCTTACGCCCTTGGCGAGCTGACACCGCTCGTTACTGGAACGACGTTGATGTGCGCGGTATTGGATGTCTTTGTGCCTTTGGTGAGTCTCCCTGGACCATGAACGAGATACGCTTGCTCATGTCATGTACGCACGAAGACAGGACGCATCGGTGAAGAGGCACCGGCCGAGTTCATCATCGCAAACATTGTGGCGATCAATGGCGCATACATCGCGCCACTGGCTGTGCCGTTCGTGCACCGGTACAGTCGCCGCATCCTCGCGCGCACCGTGGTAGTGCTGTGCATGATCTCCGGGCTGTCTATGGCGTTGTTTTCCATGCGGTCTCCGTTTGACACGATGCACCAGAAGCGCATCTTTGTCATCCACATGGAAAACGTGAGACGATCCGCTGCATCCTCGACGCCACCGTTGACCATCGTCGTCGCAGATTACGAGCGCCGAGCAACACCTGCATGTCGCGGCGTCCGATAGCGCACCGGGCTTCCACAGCCTTGCCTCCGACATAGCGAGGGAATTCAGCGTCCCTGGCATGACACCGACGTCTGTCGTCATGGACGACTGGAACAGCGACTGGGACACGATGTATCCATTCTCTGCAGTGAGTCGCTTGTACCTCGATGCGGCTGAAACAAGTTTCTGACACATTGGGTCTAGTTCCTGACGCCCTACAAGTTTGACCTCCCACTCCGCTCTGAACATATGGACGTCCCGGAGCACGACTTCACTGTGACTGCGGTTAACGACAAGGTTGACCCTATTGCCGGCACCCGGAGCTTCACATTGCTGGTGAATCATCCTGGAATCATCTGGACCGGTACGCGTCTCCGTATACCAGTGGCTGAGTCGTTTCTGAGCCGTTCTATAGCCGTAGCGTTTGATGCCCATGTGCTGAAGTGGACGCTCGACAACAACCCTCCTGACGAGTTCGCGCGGCACCACATCAAGGAGGCTTCGTTTTACAACCACAACACCTGGTCTGTCGACCTGGTGGTCAAGCTGCAGGAGGACAACCCCGACGGCAAGGTCAAGGTGAACTTCATGGGCATCCACGAGAAGGCGATGTGGCCGGGCAAGAAGGCCGAGAAGGCCTTGGGAGGACGCTCGATGCAGCTGTTTGAAGAGTTCGACGGTTGGTTGGAGCGCCAGACTGGTGGAACTGTGGATGCGCTGCTCATTGGTTGCGTCGGCGGCGTTGCGGTTTTGTAGAGATTGCTTTCAGTGTGGATTTCCTCCAGAACTGTGATACATGGCGCTGACGCTAGCTTACCTGTAATCAATTATGACTGGCGCAAAGTAGTAGTACTTTGGCATTCCAACTCGAAGATGACCGGGAGGCCGTGCGGCGTGCGCATTCCTATCATCAACTGCCACGAGGTTGCATCCAAGACGGAGTGTCCTCGTACGCGCACTCAGGAGTGATTCGTCAACTATTCACCGGAATATCATCGCTGCATCCATCCCCTCCCCGGGGCCTTTGAAGTTTGGAGGATTTCAGTCGCGACGGGAGAGGATCGGTTGACCACGTGATCGTGTCCACAGTGTGACACCGGGGGGACGCGTTTGCGGGATTCCCGGGTGTCAAGCTGGTTCTCCCAAGACTCGACGCACGGTACACCAGCCCTACCGCAGCCCTACTCTCTGCTTGTCTTGTCCAAAGCTTGAGCATATTGGCAAACCCTGCGAGCTGTTATGTATATGTCTCGGCTCTGATTCCAAGGCTACCATGGATGTGCAAGGCCCCCCTCGGTATCGTGCCCAGGCTACCCTCACGGAGGCCCAAGTTCGACTCGTTGCCCAGTCATCTGTAGAGGTAACTCTCGTGCACCTCTTGCACGAGGGTCTGCTAGATGCTAGTCGAGTTTCGGCCGCATCAAAAGACAGAGACACGACGATGGCCGGTGAGTCTACCAGTCATGCCGAGACATGCGCCGCAATACCTATGTCCAGGATACACCATGCTGTTTTACAACACTGCCCTCCGAGATTTGGGAGAGCCCGGTGGCTCTTCCTTTTCCATGGTTCTGAAGTCGAAGTTCGAAGCCCCTCCTGTTCCCACCCCTTCGTCCCCTCTTCAACCTTTCTATGACTTGTGGCGACGAGTGGTACCCGCTATTCGTGCGTTGTCTGTTGAGAAGCGCGAGCATCTTCGGCGTGTCATCTGCGGTCAAGGGTGTGTTTCTCCTTCCTTATCTTACGATTCCCATGTGTATGGGGTTGCCGACACCCTGCAAGCAGTCTCCGAAGCGTTCTATCATCGGTATAGTCGCCGAGACGAGTCTTCCGACCACGCCCAAGACATTTCAAGCATCGCGCTCTTCGATAGGACCGATGCGATTCATTCCGCTCCTATGTCATCCTCGACTGAAGAGAGTCCGTCGTTGGCCCTGGAAGACGATACTCATACGCGGCGCACAACGGCGGAGCCCACCGAGCGCGTGCTACGGCGGAGTAAGAGGTTGCATGCTGAAATATCAGCGCCAGTAGCCACAGGCGCAACCAAGCCACCGCGTAACAAACGGCATAGCCAGAAGCAGGTCCCTGCGGTACCTCACGCAAGAAGATTCCAGAGTAACTGGTCAGTCAACGATCCTCTGAGCTGCACTTATTCCTGCTTTGCAGAAAGCTCTGCTCGCGTCCGCGAAGTCGCGGTAGGCGCCTGCTCACTCGACATACACTGGGAGACTGTTGTACCGCCGTCGGTTTCGCGGTCTGCTCCTCTGCAATCTCTCCAACCAGACTGCCTGCCGCATATATGGACTTCCGTGAGTACTCGCGCGAATTGAGTTCAATGCGTGTTAACCGCTTTTGCTGTCAAGAACCGTGACGAACTCTGCGAGATCTTACCGGAGCTCAGAGATATACAAGACAACATCGCACACGAGCAGACGCAGACGCCAGTCTTGTTCCTCGACCAACCTAAATGCGCTCTGGATGAGTGGGACGGCGGGACCAGGATTCGTCTCGGACTGTGAGTAAACCGCAGTGCTTAGCACCCTACTACTGATCACTGACCCTCGCACTCTAGGGCTAGAACATGTGACTATCGCACTTCATGTAGTCCATCATCCGTAGACCCTGTCCTCCAGGCCTCTACTCTCGGTCTGCCTGTGTCACCATTGGACGCTCCGGTATCTGACTCTGTGATTCCTCCTACCGAAGACGCACCTCCTGAGATCTCCGCCCTACTTCGCGCTCAAGACTCCGGCATTCCCATCAGTCTTATTCTATGTCGCGAAGCTGGCATCGCTCCTTTTGCCCTCCCCGAGGATCGTGGATGTGCGTTCCTAGGCTTCTTCGCCATCTCCAAGGTCGACATCACTGTAGTGAGCCAAACCCATTGGGTCCCACTCCTCTACTCACTGATAGAACTCGGTGATCCAGGCACCAGAGTCGGGGAGCCAGGAAGACAAGGCGCTAACCATTCGCGTACGCAAGACATGGGTCTTCGACTTCGAGTGGATACCCGGAGGCGAAGATGCCGATACTGACCGTGCTTCCCCAACACCATGGTGGATGAAGGGATTGAAACCAAGCACTTTGACAACAGATATCGGTGATGAAGGTCCTGTACCGATACAACATTCCTTTACGCTATTGCCCCACCACTTCCTCGCGTCTTCCTCTCAGTTTGGCGACGAGGTCACTGGCTGGCACTGTAAGAACTGCGGCAAGATCAACATACAACGCAACTTGTGTATTCAGAAATGTAGCTATTGCTCGGTACGAATCCGGTCCATGCTTCACGAGGTGACCTCGACTGACACTAATCCTTACGTGCAGACAACCAATGGACTGCCACCTGTATCGCTAGAATACGCCCGTCAGACCCGTGGGACGGACCCAATCACCTTCCCCATGGATAGGTCTGTTGCGGGCGTCGCATGGTCCGCGTCAGACGCGCCCGATGGCCTGCGCGACTTCACCTACTCGCTCTCCGATACGGCGTTTGTTCATCATATCTTCACACGCAACCACTCCGACGTGCAGGAGGAGCCGACCCGGCTCTTCCACGACATTCAAGCTCATGTCGAGGTCCCGTCAGCGTCTGGTGCGAAGACCGGCGCGATCAGGAGCCACAACGTTTATTCCGTGGACTACCTTTCGTCTCGGAGCGCAGGGAAGTCACCGGGGAACGCACAGCGGCGGTGGCCGTCGACCCATCCCGAGTGCGTCTCGCGCGCCCGCACGCTGATGCTGCGTCGTAGCAGACTGGGGACGCGCGCCGCCGACCTGACTATCAACGCTCTCACTATCACGGCGTGGCGGCGCGCTGGGAACAAAAAGGTAAGCATGCGTCCCGTCTGGCTGCACAGCGTGTGTGGTTGGATCACAGACTGGAACATTTGTTTTCCGGCAGGGCCAAACGCTGGCGGCGAAGGACGCGCCGGTGGTCGTGCTCGTGTTGGGTGCGGACCTCGAGCTGTCGTTCTCGCGCGTGGCACCGTCCGGACACCCATCCCCGCCATTGTCCGCGGCGGCGGCGCCACAGCGCGTGTACGGCCCTCCTCCTGCGCCGGCTGACGACGACGGCGACGAGGATGGACGGGAAGGGGATGGCAGCCCTGCGGATGAAGATGCTCCAGATGCCTCGCTGCCTACCGGGCCGGCTACCAAGAAACAGAAGACGTCGAAGGGCAAGGATGACGAGGCCCTGATGGTTACGCTCGTCCACGGCGACATGCTCGTCGTTGAAGGCGCTGTGTTTGAGGTGTGTTAGACCACGGCGGCGCGTCGCCTTTGTCTATCAACTGGTGCTGACGCAGTGGCTGCTTACAGTATTCGATGAAGAAGACTGGAATGACTATCGGTAGGTCGGCCTGGTCCTTATGCTTGGTATGCAGCCGTCTGAGTCGTATGTTCTAGTGCTGTTTGGGTCCGAATGAGTCGCTCACCAGTAGTCTCCGTATTTACCCATGTACTTCCTTCTCAGTGATAGTGGTAGCCCGTCGGCCAGACTGTCGTGATACCGGCCCATGAGCTGCTACATACCATGGCCTGGTGGTCTAGTAGTATGATTCCTTCTTAGGGTTTAACCGTTTGGAGGAGGTCCCGGGTTCAATTCCCGGCCAGGCCCATTGTATGTGTCGCGGCTTGTTTTTGTTTTTGTGAACTCAACTATCCTATTGTATGACTGTTCGCCAGGGCCATAGAGTGGGCAATACATATCATAGAGATACATGGGTCATAATTTCGTCATATAGTAATGTTACCTCAGGAGGCAGAGGGTAAGGGGTAAGGTATGATAGTTATGAGGAGTAGCAGTGGGACTCGGAAGGGTGGACAAGCCAGACTTCATGATATCGAGATGCCTAGTACGGGCTGCAGACTGCTCCTGGAGACATGCTCGACGCCGAGGAGAAGCAATCGTTCGGGGTATACCTCCTTGTCGTCAAGCTGTAGAGGATGCCCGTTCTGCGCCTCCCTATCCTGTGTGTGCATCGCATATGCGGTCAGCCAGCGAACAATCAACAATAGACGATAGAAGATGGACAGAGACAGAGAGACAGGGGGTGATCAACAGGCTGGCGGCAGACACTCACGGCGAACCGCTGGACCTCGCGCGCCACGATCGCGGCGAGCTGCCCGCGCGTCGGGCGCCTCGTCTTTCCGCCGCGGAGGACGTTCGTCTGGCGCACGTATGGCTGGTGGCCCTTGACCTGTTTCATCCCCCCGGACAGCGCGATCGCCATGAGCGGAGGCGCGCGGGGGCGCTGGAGAGGGCTGGCAGAGGGGACTCACGAGGATGCGGACGGACATCTTCTGGCTGAGCGCGACGTCGGCCGGGAAGGCGGGCTCGTCGTCGCCGGGGAAGCCCGCGCGCTGTGTGCGGAGCGCGGGCGCGTCCGGGGAGAGGACTCGGAGGGAGAGGGCGCGTTCGAGGGGGAGGCGGCCGAAGGAGATGGGCGGGGAGGGCGGCAGGGACGGAGTGCCAGAGACGGGCGTGGCGCCGTTGCTGTACGGATCTTGGGCGAGGATCTGACGGGAGGTGCGGGATTGCGGGAGTGGAGTCACGGTCGTCAGGATGTGCGGTGTCTGGGCTGTGTTGTGGCACGCGGGAAGGGTGCGTACCGTTACATCCTTCAGCTCCTCCTCTACCAGCACTTCGTCTTCGACGTCTTCGTAGTCGTCTTCGTAGTCGTCTTCGTCTTCGTACTCGTAGTCATAGTCGTACTCGTACTGGTCGATGTCCATGCCTGTAGGCTCGTGGTTCGAGGACGAAGAGCTGGACGCGGAGTAGATGGAGCACGCGTCGTCGTCTGCGGCGGAGGTCTCGGTCTGTGGAGCGCGTTCACTGATTAGTCCTAGTGCGCGGATGCGTAGATTAGCATGACTCGGGGCTCACAGTCGGGTCGGGACCGAGGCACCGGAGGAGGTTCTCGCACGTCTGGCAACATGCGCCGAAGGTGGACTGGAAGCATACGTTACAGAGGCCAAATGTAGTCATCGCTGGTAGTTTGCGAGCACGGAAGAGAAGCAGGTATAGGTGTGTGTGTGAGTGAGTGGGAAGGGAGGGTGTGGCTGCAGCGTCGAGGCACGCATCGGGAGGCTATTATACAAGACCCCTTCCGGCGCCAATGCACGTAAAGAGAACACCGATGACGGCCGTCATGGCCGGACCAACGCCTGGTGGACCTGGTTATCCCGTGCGCTCCGAGGCGGCGGGATAACAGCGGGAGCGATGGAACATGAGAGGGTGGTACGCCCGAGCCCACGGAAGGGTTCGTGCAGTGCTCGCCGTGGATATTCGATCCGGGGCTATCGGATGGGGAACATGGAACGACTCTCGAAGACCTGCCCCTCGCTCGTGCGCGCGCGCTGCGGGTTCGTGCGAGGTGCCAGGGTGAGCTGTTGGACCGCAGCGAACATGTTACGTGGATGCGAAGCGGAGCGGCCCTAGGCACGCAGGACAGTGGACACCGAGGTCGGCGACTTGACGCACCGCCCTTGTGGACGATGGACGTATCCGTCGAAGGTAGACGCGGACGAAGCTTCGACCCAGCGCGTCAGCGTCCACCGAATTTGCCCGCGTGCCCGCATTCGGGACGCCCCAACCGCGAGACGCCACTCGTCAGTCCCGTACGTGCGGTCGGTGCAGATGGTGTGCGGGTTGACTGTGTGCGTTGTCAGCCTGTGGGATCGATCCCGGAAGGTGCATGCGGCGAGCGTTTTGCCCGAGCGACGACGGGTGTCCGTGGTTTTGCGCAGTATGTTCCGATTTCGTGATGCATATGCGGATGAATGTATGCGTGCGAACGCGCGATTTCGGTCGGACCTCGTGCAGCCACTGCCGGACGGGGTGTGTCAAGGCGCGTGTCCGCGAGTGAGTAAACGTGCTGCGCGAGACGGCGCGGACAACGTACACACAGAGAATCCGGACATCCACAAAGCTTGTCCATGATGATATGCGTTGGATTCTGAGCGACGCTCCGCATTGAGTGCGAATGTAGGCGTCCTTGCCGGTCAATTGACGACTCCCGCCGCCACAGCCTGCCACCTTCGCAGAGAGCGATTTGCATGCATGGTGATTACATCGGTGCCACACGAATTCCGAGAATGCTCGTAAGAGAGCATTCGTGCCGCCCGCTGGCGCTCGGATCCTTGTGGCTAGGTTGCCCTGGCCCGCAAGTATCATGATCCTCAGTAAGCTCTATACCATGCATGCAGCATTCAGACATACCTCATCTCCGCGATCGGGCACAGTCGTGTGTCAGTGCATCTGCGAACTGCGGCAGCGCGCTCAAGCTGTAACACGGTGATACCGGACGATAGGGACTCATCGCAGGCTGGTCTACTCGGAGGATAACGCTGTCTGAGGGGCATCCACATCATCGTTCCGGCCGACAGGAAGAATGGAGCCCGCGCTCTGTATCCAGATCGTTTCCTTGGAATCTCGCGGTGCAGCGATTGCGCAAGCGTGAATGGATGCAACTCCCTCCAACCGCGGCCGGGCTCAACAGAACGAGAACCGGTGCCAGGGAGGGTCCTGCAATAGCTGAGAGATTGAGACCAGTGAGACGATCCGGACGTATCGGCGTCGTGGTGCGACCAACAGATCAGGAAACGTGGGAGGACCGCCCAATGGCAATTCGACAAGTATTTCGACGACACAAGGCACGTAAAGCAGACGACGACCATGAACACTCGCCGTGGTGCCGACTGTACAACGGACCAGGCTGGCCTCGCAACCTCCATGCGCCTACCACCGCGCCAGGCCACTGCACGGTGTCCGATGGCCTGCCAATGCTCCGATACCGGGGGAAGGTCGACAGCAGGGTACGCGTCCGCAGACTACGACCGCGCGAGTCCTTGTCCGAAGAAGGGAGGATCTGCACCGTCCTGGCACTTGGGCAACACGGGTGATTGCCTAAAGCGAGGTCTAGGATGACTGCCGTCAATTCTCCTGCATATGCGTCCACGCGGCGAGTGTAATGTGAACACACCTCAACGGCCCCGGGCGTTTTCTTCACTCAGCGCATCTGCGAGCTTTTGCAGCTGGACGGAGGTGGTTGTTTCGCCGGTGTTCCTGGCGAGGTTCCTGGCGCGAAAGCGATGGAGAAAGTTGTCGAGGCGCTTCTGGGCAATGTCGGACGGCACAGGCTGGACACGAAGCGTCTGAAGACGGAGCGGAGGGGTCAGGGCGGCGTCCATCGCAGAGTCGATGACAAGGCTGTTGGCTCTGAGCAGTGAGCAGTTCCTGAGCAGTGAGCAACGCTAGGCAACGCTGTCCTCGGTCTCGACCTCGGCGAAATGAGAAGCTCAGCCGCCGGCCGAAAGCGGCAAAAAGTGTACACGGCAGAGGGACGGGACGCGGACCGATCACGTGGGCGGAGGCGTTTTGGTGGTACGACTCTGAGTGCGGCGAGGACGAGGACGCGGACTCGGCCGCTCCCCCGTCTCACCTGCGTCTCCCAGATCGCGCCAGGACCGCCCTCGACGACCGCGACATATCCTTATTCTACCCAAAAACAGAGACGACATAATGGGCGCCGCATCCATGCTCACCCTCCTCCTCACCCACCCCCTCGAGTTCCGCATCCTCCTCCAGTACAAGATCTGGCACGAACCCAAGCGCGACATCACCCAGCCCTCAGAACACGCCACCTCGGGATGGGACCGCCAGACAATGCGCAGGTGTTGGGAGTTCCTCGACCAGACAAGCCGCAGTTTCTCTGGTGTCATAAAGGAGCTCGACGGTGATCTGGCGCGAGTCGTGAGTCTCTCTGTCTTGTTCTGTCGTGTGCGCGGCAGCCCCGCGTTTAGCCCCTAAAACCCGTTAGTCGGGTCTGTGGCATGGAGAGCATCCTTTCTTTCGAGTCACAGACCTAGCGTGACGAGAACGCTCGCTGCAAGCATCCTTCCCTTGGCCGTGCCAGTAATTGACTTCGTTCATATAATGTTCTCCGACATATGTGGACTTGGAACAGCATCCTTGGAGCTCTGAGGTTCCGTCACATCACAGCTTCATCTCCCATAAAGGTCTACGAGGGTAGCGAGGTCATGACACGACGTCACGTCATTGGGACATACTCGCCCTTTTCTATGAAACGCGTCTCTCCTCTCTTCTCTGTCTTTTCTGCGCTCTACTCAGCTCTTCGCGGTGTTATGCGTCGCGCGTGGACCGTGGATTACGCAATTCGTGGCCTCCTAGCTGGACTGATACCTCCTTCCTCCGCTTCCTGAGTACGAATGCTCATAATCTATACCTCCACAGGTCTGCTTATTCTACCTTGTGCTACGAGGCCTCGACACGATCGAAGATGACATGACGCTCCCTGACGAGAAAAAACAACCCCTATTACGCCAGTTCCACAAACTCGCAGTCAAGCCAGATTGGACATTTGACGAGTGCGGGCCGAACGAGAAGGACCGACAGCTGCTCGTCGAGTGGACCGTCGTCAGCGAAGAGCTCAACCGGCTAGACTCTCGGTGCGCCTCAACACATGCCAATGCCACGTATTCATCCCATACTGACGAAAATGCTCGCTATATGCGCACAATCCTCCCCGCAGGTATCGTGACATCATCATCGACATTTGCGAGAAGATGCAGACCGGCATGGCCGACTACGCACAC